AGGGAGCTATTTTTAGGAAAGCCACTGGCTAAAACAACTATGATTGAGCACACTTAATCAAATGCTTGTTAAGAAGGTGACAGTGGGTGGAGGGGAGGCAATTGGACTTCTCATTAGGATCACTTCTCTGAAGGACACCCTATAAAACATTTAACGAGACACTGCCAGTGTCCTTTTAGTCTTCTGTCATTTCATCACACACACTCAGTACTGCTCTATGAAGTTTCATATAACAGAGTTTTCTCCTTTGTGGCAACTGATAAAGGTTAAAAGGAGGAGTGCAGCAAGTAGAAAAAAATCCCCAAGGAAGATGGAATATCCAGCAGGAGGAAAGGCAATTTCTGGCAGCAAATGAAGCAGGAATGTACTGCAGATTTTACGATGGAAGGAGGTATTGTTCCCTGATGGGCTGGGAAAGAGACCACAAACTTCTGTCCCTCCTGCCCCCTGGTGTGATCCTGGTTTTATCAAAGTATAGGAGACCGGCTGTTGCTTTCAATGGGAGTGATATTTCATGAGTATGGTTGTCTGGACAAATGATTGAATGCCTGGGGACATTTTCTGAAAAGCCATTCTAAACTCCTGAAAGAAGCTGCAAAACAGAGTTCTCCTTGTTGAGCAAAAGCTTATGCTAGCAAGATCAGAAACGAATTTCCTGGAATCAGTGGATTTGGGCTGTGTTTGTTTGCAAGAGAGAAAAAGGATGATAACCATAACAGAACTTGACAGTAAGGGATAAATTATTAGAACCCTATATAAACCTTTTAGATCCCTCAGTACAAACATGTTTCAGGAATACTCAATGACATACTGTGTGGAAACACCCATAGCGTAGCCCACAGTTTTCAGGACAGTATTTTTTCCCCCGACACATATTTGCAGACTGGTTCTTCTAGAAGGACAGCACATCTAATCTCTTTAGTTCTAAATGAACATCTCTGGAACATGGAGTTACTAATGTTTTCAGTGATTCAGAAGCCTGTCTAAACAAACAAACACTTATGAACCATGTATTTGGGTATACACAAAAAGCAGACTGCAGAGAAGTAAATCTTATATTGCATTTCCAAATTCTGAAACCACAGAATTTCTTTTGCTTCAAAAAATTCATGCCATCAGAATTAATTGTACTACCAAACCAGAAGAAAATGACATTCTCAGGGTAAAATAGTGAATGTTTGTACAAAAAGATCAAAATTCAAGAGTATTTGTTAGTCAAGACTGAGCTGTAATAAGCTAGTTCTTGAGGAAGACAGAAAATAAACTATTGTCAGGGTCTAGCTGGCACACTATCCCATGCCTTCAGTATTATTTCCCTGATAAAAGGTGCTTTCAGCATTAATACCATTGTCTTTGAAGATATGCCACTTCCTAGGGTTACGCAGTTTCTGCATAAAGTTTGGAAAAGGTAGAAAAAAGTCCCAGCAGTGTAATGACCCATTTCCCCTCCTTTAATTCTAATCTTCATCAAATAACAAGGTCTTTTGAATGCTGCTTTATGTGATTCCGTTGTTGTCTATAACTCTATAACTCTATAACCAGTACTAATCCTTTTAGACTCTATGAGGTCAATATACTAAATAGAAAGAAGGGGAAGAGTACCGAGTTTGTACTTTTTTTTTTTTTTTTTTCCTACCTGCTTCCTGAAGTGATGAACACCTATAAAAGCAGCCAGAGGATGAAATGTATCAGGAACATTCAGACTTCACATTTCACCAAGCTTTGGTTGAATGTTCTTCCTCTACAGGAAGCACACTTCCTTTAGATGTCAGTGGAAGTAGATGAGGATCTTGTTTTTCTTTGCTTTGTGTCTCCTGACCTTTACTTTTGTATTGTCTTTTTTTTTTTCTTTTTCTTTTCTCTCTCCCTTTCTGTTCTTAAACTGCTTGCTTAAGATCCGCTGCATTTTATTAACTTCAAGTATCTCAATGATTCATAAGTGGTTCATAAGTTTGTTTAGACAGACTTCTGAAACACTGAAAACATTAGTGACGCCATGTTCCAGAGTTGTTCATTTAGAAATAAAGAAATTAGATATACTGTTCATCGAAAAAAAGCAAGTGTTAGCTTCAGGGTGAAGCCACATTCCTGGCGTACCAGGAAACTGTGCACAAAAACCTAGGCAATGAATTGAGGAAAGCTCTCTGTACAGGAGGGATTAGCCAGGGAGCCTCTCAGTGAAGCAGGGACCTAAGTATCACAGAGATCAATATTTGTTTGTTACACACATAGCATGAATGAGTAGACTATTTTTATTACAACTTTTTCAGAATTCCATTGCATATACTCAAATTATAAAATAAGTTCCAACATATCAGTTAGAGAAGCAGACTGAGATAGAAGCAACTGTCAGGTTATCACTGGAAGAGGACAAAATTAGAAAGGCCACTTGGGAGGGATCCAGCATGAGCCATCTCAGAATGTTATTAGGAGACTGCTATTTTCTTCTGCAATAGCAGATACTTTAAATCCTTTCTTTCAGATTGATGGAGCTAAAAATGCAGAATCACTCCTCCATCAGTTACAAGCTTCACCACTTGCTCCATCTTGTCATTTTAACAGTGATAAACAATGTATCCCACCTCTGATACAGCACAGTGCATTTTCAGAGCAACCTAATACTTACTTGCTGAAATTAACAAAAAAATTCAAAAGCCTCCCTCATCAAAATTTTAAAATATCTAAATGGAGATGGGAGGAAAAGGAAGAAAGCATTGCTGAGTAATGTACTCCTACAATAATTTTCCCTCCTTATCCTGAAGTTGTTTGAGATTGAAAACTTTATCTTGAAGGACAAGGCTGCCTGACCTTGCTGATTTCTGAACAAGCTCAGGAACCACTTCATTACAATGCCAAACGATAGCATAAGGACACTGCTGTGAAATATGATTGCTTAAGATTACTCTTCCTTCTTTGTTTTCACTGAGCGGTTTCAGTACAAAAAATGTGGCAGAGCAAGATCAATTTCCTTGTTAAGCTACTGAGCACTCTTAGAGTCTATCAGAGTTACCATATATCGCACAGACTATTTTTCCAAACAGGTTACACCAGGCTATGCTATCCTTTACTGGCATTTGTGAACAGAACTTGGAAAACCACACTGCTTTAGATTTTATTATGTATTTTGCTGAAGTTAAATGACCTAATTTACCCTAAAATGATGACTGTTAATGAGGAATATAAGTGGACTGCTGAGATTCTTTATGCCACAGATTTTACCCAACTCTTTTACTTATGAGTAATGTTCTATTAGAATAATACGGATCTTTTAAGCGGTATGTCAGTCTGTACACCTTGTATCAACAAAAATGTAATTTAATGTTCTACTAAGTTCTATCTATGGCAGACTCATTATCATTACTCAATTACTCAGGAAATAAAAAACCATCCATCTCTATGGACAGATCCTGGTTCTCCATTTCTGTTCTCAAAGACCAAAATTATCTTCAAACAGTAAAGAATTAAAAAGCCTTCTTGCCTGATGCAGTGCACTAACCCCTCTTGTTGGCCATAGCCATCATGTCATTACTCCACCTCTAGCTTTGTAAAGAAAACACTTTTCAAGAAGACTCATTCTTTTTTTTTCAGCGTCTTGCAGACAGAGGCACAAAGGTGGACACCATGGATGTGGATAACATAATCCAGATATATTTATGTTCCAGTTAAATTATACCATTTGTAAAGGATAACAGTGTTTAGAAAGTTGCCAACAGAAATAAACAAACACTGTTATTTGGACATCATTTTTCTTTTTTTTTTTTTTTTCCCTATGTCTTGCAGAACCTTTCTAGGAAAGAATTTTATCCACAGTGATATTCTAGCCATGAACAAGGCAGAATGATCTCTAATTTGGACAAAAATTTTTGTCAAACATAAAGCAAGAGAAAACAGCTAAAATATTGAATCCTAAGCCTTGCACGATCCAAAACAAAACAGAGGCCTTGCATTTTTTGCAAGATTTTTCTGTTTGTAAATGCAAGACAGTTCACTTCATTAGTATTATGGGGAAGATCATACTATGGCATAAACCTCTTTTCAGCACCTTTAAAGCAACTTTCTTATGTCAGTACATATAAACAAAATCATTATACCAAATTCTATGTCACAGACTATTTTTAATAAGACTTTCTTTCTCTGTATAGGTTTGGCTGGTTCAGCCTAAAAGCAGTGTTCAAGTTTAGCAAAATCAATTCACCACTTTTTTCTACTTGTTTCCCTACTTGGGTTGTAGGTCAGACTAGTGACATTTTAAAAAATTAAGTCATTATGAAAGACCACGGGAAGGCCTATTTTGTCAGTCAGCTACACCTGAAAATTAAATCTGACTTTAGAGAGAAACCAGCTCATTCATACAGCCATTTCAGTCACAGTGTGAGTTACACAGAATTGCAGAGTTACTTATAAATTTACATGCTAAAAGAACTCAATTTAAATGTTTCATTTCTTCCTACCTAGATTTTAACCATATACAAGAAGAGTCACAGAAACACTACGATACCATATTAAAACTTAATTTTGTATGCCTCAAGATAACAGAAGGCAGAGTGGAAAAGTTTGCACACTTGCATTCAGCTCCTAGTTTTCACCTACTTTTGAAGTATCCTATGAAGCACAGTGTGACAAGCTCCCTTCGTAAGAGAACAGGTTCTGTGCAATATCATGATAATCAGACAAGCTATTTCCACTCGCTATGATGTGAACATGCTATCTGATGAGCACAAACACATTTCCTAAAAGAATACATTTTAGACTGCTATCTTATCTGACATGGAAGGGCACTGGGCACAAGAGATACATGTGCAAACAGACTTCAGTTCTTACATATAGCAAACCACAATGTAATATATTGTGTTCAGTAATAAATGAAGGTTATATTTATCGTAGACTTCCTATTTGCAACTTTTTGCTCCTAAGAGGCATCTTTTCAGTGAAAAGCAGAATCAAGCATGCAATATATTTACTGATATAAAAACAAAAATCAGAATTAAAAAAGCACCAACCTCCTCATCAACATTATGGGCAATTCCATTCTGCACTGGTCCTGAATCGCTTGGTGGTGTTACTGCAACTTCCACTTTTGCACCTTTCTCTGTGGTATTATCAGTAAATAAGAGCAAGAAAACAACACAGTATTAAAAACCAAATCTATTAGTGAAACTGCAGTCACGTATTTAGCCTGTTGAAATCATCAAATACTGATGGTGGACAAACCTTAAAAAGAGAGAGACCAAAATCCTGGCTTTTGTTTGACTACACTTTGAATCAATTTCTTGTAAGTAGCAAACTTGTGTTTGAAGAAGCCATCGTAGTGGGAACTGTGTTCTAGAAAAATGTACATTCTTTGCAATACTGCACGCTCCTTATGCTAAACTGAGCATAACATTTCAGGTAACTACAATATATAATGTTCTACACATTGAAGAATGCAAGTAAGGGGTTGCTTTCAAGAAGAAATAACTTCTGTAACACACTAACCTCTGCAGTTTCGAAAGTTACTTCCAAACTGTAATAAAGTTCCTTCTTCTTCAAAAATACAGGATAAGAATGAATGGATGACCTTTAAAACAGAATCCTATTGCCCTTGTGCAAAACTGTACAAGGGATTAAAGGAATAAAACTGGGCCTTCAGTTTCTGACAGAACATTTATTCAAATTTTTTCTGACTTAGTCTATCTTGGAATTCTCCAAACAGCTATCACCGCTTTCGGTATGTGCCAGATGAAAATGTCAATGGCCAAAAATCCCTTGGACAATTTGAAGTAATGGGGAATAGCAATAAGAAATGTCTTATACAAGTTCATCGTGCATTATGGTATGCTCTTATGAACGTAAGTAAATACAGCTGTCAAGTTACATTACTGCTACCCAGAGATTCCTCTAAATTAAAAATCCGAGATCACAGCCAAAGCTGAGTGCCAAGACTATCTTTAATTATTTCAGTATTTCTTAACCCCACACTCAGCATTATGGTTTATCAACTGTGTCCCATTCAGTTGCTCGACTGAGGAAGTAAATTTTGTCTAAACATAGCACGAGGTCAGGAAAAGTATCATTTGAGAAAATGATTCAGCTTTTATCAGACACATTTGCATACGGTTTTCTAATGCAGAGAATATGCCATGGTAGACAAAGGATAATATGGATTTCCTTTTGGTATAGGAACTTTTGAAGTAGAAGACAAATTCTTGCCCTCAGTGAAAAGCCACTGTGAGCTAATTCTGTACAATTAATACAGATGGGCTTAAATGACTTTCAACAACTAGCAGACTCACAAATAAAATCTTAAATAGGAAGGTTGTTTCTCTTTGAGGCAGGGGGTGTACTACATAGAACACATATAATCCTAGAGCAGTGGTTCTTGTTCTACAGAGACTATACCCATCACTCTGTAACGTAGAAGCTACTTGTGTGAAATTCCTGACAGGTTTCACTTACTCTCTAGAAAACTTTTAGAGCTCCATAAAATTAGAACTGGTGAACATTGTTTCCTCTGAATAGGTAAAATATGCATGTATGGCTGGATTCAGTACATGGAACAACAGGGCAAAGCACCACTAAGAAACGAGCTGGTAATGCTATAAATCACCTGAGACTACCTCAGTTATCTGTTCGGATTGTGGGGATGGTGTTTATTTTGCAGAACTGATTAACAAAACTTTTCCTTTAACAACACTGCACTGGGGCTGAGCTAACTGTAATTGTGTTGCTGTCCTCTACTTGTGCAAGTGGTTCAGTATCGCAGACATGGAGAAACCACAGAGCTTAGTCATACTGGTCAATACTCTCTTTAGACCTATGGGTTGAACAAGCAGATTACAGAGAACAACAACAGCAGCAATCTGCCCCTGCATCAACCTTTCACAACTCAATAAACTCACTGAATTTTGACAGGTAAGTTTTGCATCTTTATTTCTGCAAGTTCCTCACTTGTCCAAAATCATTGTACTGCATTTATCTCTTCAGTCCTCCTAGGAGGCTTTCTACCTGCAAATCAGACCTTCTCATCTTGCACTTAACTCCTGTACTATCTTCAGATTTCATTCTCTTTTCTATAGGAAATCAGAATATGTTTAGCAAGACAGTAAAAACGAAGCAATAGAGGAATTAACCTCTAAGGATTTACAAGCAAAATGAAACAGTGAAAAACAGTCTCAAGAACACACAACAGATCTGCATGGCTGCACTCACCATGATTAGCAGCTCCATTCTGCCTTTCACTGTCTTCTACCTGGCACTTCTTTTTGGCGATCTTATGCAGAATTGAGGCCCTCTCCTTGAATTTTCCTAAAAGAAAGCATTATTATTATTCAGATGCAGATATTTTGAGAGGCAAAGTTTGTTTGTCATAGCTTAGGATCCAAAAATCACTGCTAATAATCCATTTCCATCCCTCCCCAAAAGCAAACTCTATTAAACACTATCTGATGTTCTTACTAACGCTTTTTTGTTTGTTGTTTTTTTTTCTTCCCGTTTTGCGAACTCTGCAAGAAGTAGAACAAAAAATGGAATCCAACGTTTCTTCTGAAGCAGTCAGTAAAGTTCCACCTAAAAAACTACTGATGTAGGATCTGAGGCTAAAGAGAAGATGAATACAGATGAATATGGATATTACGAACAAATACACACAGTTTCAGGTCTCAGCTAGTAGCACAGTACAACAGAATTTATGATGAGCCCATACACCACATTATTGTGGGTGTGGTCAATCTTGTCACTTTGCACTCAGTATGCCCCCATAAATTCTACTGATACTTCAGATAGGAATGATGAAATCTTCAGAACAAATTATTTCCATGCCAGCTTCTCAAAGGAAAACTTCCATCTCACCATGTTGTCTCCCATGAGGTTAACTATACAGCTGCCTTCAGGACAACTCATCTCCTCCTAAGAGAAAGTCCCAAGTCCTATTGCTCTTCACTGATCAGTGTTTCCAAATGATACATTCATACTAGGCAATGTCAAAGTAGGCAAACTTAAGCAAAACAAATTCACTCCTTTCTCCAGTTTAGTTGATTTGGCTATGTAAGAGCTCTTTGGATAGCTTATCATAGCACATGTGTTGTAGACAGATGCTGTATGCCCTTCTCTATTGCATCCTCATTGGTTTTGCTTTGTAGGACTTCTTTTCTCTTTTTTAAAGTATAAGTTGTTGACTAAAGTATATAGCATTATTAGATAGAGGTTTTGCAGTTTTTAGCTATTCATCTCCAGTTTAAAATTCCACTGAAAATAGTTGAAACACTGAAAATCAACACTAAAAGTTGAAACACTAAAATCAACAAAAAACACTGAAATAAAAAAGACAGCAGGCTTAAGGTCAAAATATATTTCAGTGGAATCACATAATTGATTAGCAATGCAAAATACTACTGGTCATGGATGAACACAGGTAGCTGGATAACAGAAACAGATCACTGTTTCCAGGTTAAAATAAAAGACATACAAGAAACAATCGTTGGTTAAGAAAGAAATCCTCTCTTCCCTTCTCACAAATCAAAGATTATCAGAAACTACACCATCACAAGAAATAGGTTCAAATGCATGTATTAAAGCCTTTATATGTGCAGAAACTTATGCACAGTACATAGGGACTAGCAGTTACCATTCACTTGGAAGTGGAATTCTCACATCAATAACAAATCACTTGGAAAGAATTAAAACATCACCAAGTCCTAACAAGCAGTATTATCCTTCCAGCAGCCCCTATCTTTTCATTAGCATATCATGCTCAGTGTAGGTAACTAAACAGTGGGGAGGAAATGATTAAAAGACATAAAATCAAGTACCGAAAGCTCCTGAACTGAAGCTTCATTGCTGTAAAAAAAGTACCACCAGTCTGTCTGAAGACAGAGCAAAGTAAAAGAACACAGGCCTATGACTCCCCTTTCCATTTGCCTTCCCTTTTTGTCTATAAGTTTCAAACAAACCAAATCAGACCTTGTTCAGCAAAGGGGAAGGACAGACCCACATGGACAGAGAACCACCCCAGGAAATTTCAGAAAGCCCCACAAATTTTGACTTAGGCACAGATCTTGCATGTCTTTTTTCTCTCAACTCCTGGTGTCATTAAAATAACCCACAGGAATTCAATGCTATCATTATTGTTCTAGGAGAAGCTAGAAGTGTGTATTTCCTATATGCTGTAGGTTTTTATACCCAAGCATAGTTTTCACAGCAATTGGTTTCACGAGTGTTTAGATTGATGAAAATATTTGACAGCACAGACCTGAAATATGATATTCGTTCCAGAAAATACTTATTTAATCTAGATTTGCTGAGCTCTGACAAATGTTGCAGTTCATTTTAGTTTAGAAAGAATAGCTCTGAAAGAACAAGAGATCAAGGCCAGATGATTAGCAAAGAAGGTAGCTTAAAACTAAATTGGTTATATTTGAATATATGCAAACAAATCAGTATTGTGTAATACATACACCTTGATCTGCATGAGTAACTCCAGCTGGCATCAGAAGGAAGAGATTTTCTTGCTGATCATGAATATATTAAAAAAATGCAATCCTTGGACTACAATCTAAATTACAGACTACAGATTCCTTGCATGAGAAGCCTCTGATTTTACAGAAAAGTAATTTATCTTCAGAAATTCACTTGTCTAAAAATTTAAGACTTTACAATTTGTCTACTTCTCAGTCTCAGATCAAACACAATCTACTACATCTATGCACAACCAGCACCACAGCTAAGCTTTCATGTATCAGAAGACACCAAATCTGTGGCTGCTGAGCAGTCAGAACTGTGCATTCCAGTCCTGCTGGTGCCCAGTTGTGGAACACATCTGAGGGGTGGCAATTGATCAGTTGTGGAAATTCATCTCATGTGATTTCAGCTTGAACTGTAAATTGCTGCAGAAGTGCCACCTGAAAATAGATGTAGTTTTGTCAAGTCCTAGGCTGTTGGTTGAGGTTACTTGACAGCACAGGACTACTGCAAGGGTTTTTTCCCATCCGGTAGGGTCTATCACTTCTTTAAGTTGGGCAATTGATTAATCAGCAATTAATATAAATTTCTGACCAAACAGAAGCAAATAAAATGGAGATCAGTTTCAAAAACATGGAGCCCAGAGGCCCTCTGGCTGTATCTGCTATTGCCACCTGCCACTTTTGCCTACAAAAATAGATGTGCCTGTGCTTCTCCACCAGAGGACGAAAAATCTGCTGCCTCTCTCCACTCAGGGCTTGGAGGTCCCGGGGTAAGGTTGTATGACATTAGAAAAAACTAGAAATCTGCAACTGGTTTTACATGTTTCTGTGGCTAACTTATTGCAGAAGATGTATAAAAACCTAATTCAAGGAGAAAAAAAAAAGAAAAAAAAGCGTGAAAGGGATGATGAAAATAAGTGTGATGTGAAGTGTGTAGGGATTATACTTCTGAATATTCAAATAGAGAACTGAAAATATAACGCACGTTGATCTAATTGCAACTTCTAAGGTATTCTGTTCATTATTGCTTTATGAAAGACATGAAAATGATGGTGACAGTTGTGTTTAAGCTAAATTGTATCATAGGCTCTTGTCAGTGTTAATACTTCTTCAGACAAAGAGCTTCCTTCCTTCTTTTTGTTACTGGAAGATTTTTGCTACTGGATTTTAGCTACTGCTACAGCATGCTCTTTGATTGTTTATTCATGAGGAGGGCTTTCTGAGGTGACATTGAATATTAATAGCATTACTTCAGTGTAGGCACAGTAATAATAAGTACATATATTATACATAGCATACTTGCAAGGATATTTTCCCACAAGTAACTATATTTAACTAACATAATAGGATTTATAAAAAACCGAAGACAACTTATGCAGAAATTGCTTTTGAAATGGCAGGCTTAGTACTACGGAATAAAATATTAGAACTTTAACACATCCAACTCTGAGGCTAGAACAAGAAATGACATTCACAGCTCAACTGGAGATGAGACATACTGCAAAAGCTTTATTTCTGGTGGCTCTATCTTAATTGATTCTGCTGACTACTCATTTCAGACACTTTAGGGTCCTTCAGAAGTGTTCTTACACAACACAGAGACTGATGTTTGCCAGGTAAAATCTCCTGTCAAGAATTATCTCTTATATTGGAACCAACCCTGTGAATCAGACAGTGAATCTGTGCAATTAAGGGTGGTGCTACTGGGCTGCCCTACAAGTTGATGGTCATGCCTGCTCCAGAAGAAACCAGCATTTGTCAATGATAGAAGGAACCATCTTTCGTAGATGGCCCCAGAATAATATGGACTTATTTGAGCAGCAGCAGTACATACAGAAAATGAGAAGCAGTCAAAAGTTACCAATCGCAACCAAGAGTAAGTCTGTAATGAAGGTTTTCTATAAACCTTTTTAATATCAAGATCAACCTAAACTATAATCTAAACTTGAATATGACTGTGTTTATAAATACAGAGAAAATAAGCTCTTCACCTTTTATGTTCAGCATTAAAAATAAGTAGGGATAGTTAGTTAACCTTTCAACAGATCTCAACCTTATTTCTCTCCTCAGATAGGCCACTAACTACTTATCTGAGCACTCACAACATCTGCCAGGCATCCTAGTCAAAGAGTTGGACAACAGCCTCGATCTTATAGAACTCAGGACTCAGGCCTGGAAAATTTTGAATTACAGAAATGCTGATGAATTCGGACTGAAAATGTGGGAGAAACTAAGGAACTGCACTCCTGAATAAATATAGTAAACTGTAATGCTTTTTATTAGCCGAAGAACTCCCCAAGATTTCAGTGAGCCCTGATTTAGACCCTAATTACTTCCTTCCTGTATTGTTAGAATCAGGATTTTAAGTTGAATACCTTCTGCGTTGCAATTAAGCATGCAATTAGTTTTCCACAAATACTCATGCCTACTTTTTAGAATTCATTCATTACTTTTGAGTAATACAGTAAACTGAAGTCAGTACATAATTTTTCTCAAGCCAAGAGGTTTAGCCAAGTGATTTCAATATCCATAAACAATCTTCCTAAATGCACTGTAAAATATTACAAAATGAGCATTTATAATTCATACTATACTGCAATATGTAACTTATCAGTGTGGTTTTGCATGTACATTCTTTTTTAGCTGTATTTCCTTATCTGAAAGTAGCAAAACTGAAAAGTTGAAAACAAAAACCAGAAAAAAAGAACCAAAGCTTATTGCACTGTCAATGAGGTCATGCAAAAAGGAATCATTCAAAAATGGAGAAACTGAAAACAGAACAATGAAAAATGAAATAAAAAGTAAACACAGAAAAGCCTTCGAAAGAAGCTGATACAAACAATTCTAAAGTATTTCTTACCTTCTTCAGTCATTGTGTCATAATATTTTAGGTTTCCATATGATCCAAGCTCTACAACATCACAGTAAAAGACACAAAGATAAGGAACCAGCAGACAGTCAAGAAATGTACATGTTTTTGCATGTGCTTCATATCAACAGTGATTAATGAGAAAAATTCTGCAGGACAGTGACACATAGATTACAGAAATGGAAGTGCCTTTCCTCCCCCCTGAAATTTCACTTTTAGGTGAATGAAATGAAATTTCCATTTTAGAAGAGCAACTTGTGAGAGCGTGTTAGAAGAAGCGCAGAAATCTACAATTCAACCTTGTCAAGGTGATTACCAACTTGTCCCTATATTATTATTGTCCCTACATATTATATTATTGTCCCTATACTATATTATTGTCCCTATATATTACCAAGGTGTCCCTATATTTGGGAGTACATAATAATCCTTGACAGGACTAGATCAGCAGGATCTTTGAAAACTAAACTATTTAACAGGTCTCAGGCCGTACACACAAATACTTACATGTCCAAAACATACAAAAAACATAATGTCAGAAGTTGTGTGTAATACCATCTCACACACACTGTTCTGACTTGATGGCTTGTTACAAAGGGGTTGCTTAACTTGACCATTCTTGTCATTCGTGAAGTCAGAAAAGATGTATTTACTCACTTTACTGGGGATTATGAGACCTAAATTCATTAAACCATTAACTCGATTTTAATAGAATGAATTATTATACACTCTCAGGGCAGAGCAAAAGCAATGCAGAGAGCTCTAGATCTTTAGGGCTGTGTTTATTTTTCTGTGTGATACAGTCTTTTTTTTTTTTTTTTTAATTACAGATTTTGCTTTACACCTCATTTCTGAGTGAAAATGTCATTTTTTTCTTTAAGTTTTGCATACATATAAATTCAACAGTTAGTATTGGTGTCAACTTTCTGCAAAAAGGACAGGAATAATAAGCACAAAGAAAAATTTTTAAGCAATCTGTTGAGGAATTTATGGATGATTTCGGTTGCTAATTTCATGAAAAATTTTACAATTTAGATTCTGAACATCCAACCTTTTGATAGAGTGTAATCATACAAAATGGATACTAAACAGCTCAATAGCGAAGTTTTCTTTGGAAACACTCCCTCTTCATGTTTATGAAACTGCTTAAGAAATTAACTACAAAATGCTGGCCATTTATTTTGCTTTTAGCTGATGCATCTCACGATCTCTCAGTATTTTTCCACATAAGTGAATTCACTGGAGGTCTGGCCATTACTTCTTAACTGTAAAATAACGTGATGATGCATAAGGTTGATACTTTGAAAGACCCTAATTTTTAATCTATTCTTGGATACCTAAATTTTCCAAAAAAACATTTAACTCAGTGCAAAGACAAAAGCTGTGTAACTGGATAATACAGTGCTACATTTTTAAATGAACTGTGATTTATTGTAAGGATTGCTTCATGGACATACTTTAATAAAACCAATTACAAATATTGGCACACTCCTGCTTGTACAATGCTGTCTGTTATCTGCACATAAGTATGACCACTGAATTTACTTTAAGTCTTTGTTAAGGGAAAAAAAAAGTCATTAAATAAATAATTTAATATACTGTTTTATAATAGTATACAATACATACATTGCTTTGTAACACTGTTCTTATTCTTGAAACACATTCTTTGTAACTACAATTACATAAAGGAATCAATTCTCCAATCGTCTTGATTTTAGCCCTAAAGATTTGAGTTCTTTACCCTGGGAGAGCTCCCAATATCTTCAATATGGACTTTCCTGCACAGAACATTTGGGACCACGTGTGCTGTTTAATTGAGGCTCCATGTCCACTGACTGCAGGGACAGCACTTCTGTTTAAACTTATTTTCATTGATCTTTGCCCTGTCATGTCTGTGATCAGGCTTGCTAAGACCTTGGGTAAGGTGTCTGCTGGGGAAGAATGAGAGTGGAAGACAGATGCCAAAAGGAGCCTAAGAGTAATCAGAGAAATGGGAGTACATGCAGGAGACAACACTGCCAGAGAGAGAGCGCAGAAACTCATGGAGAAATGAAAAGTAAGAATGCAGATGACGGACAAAGTTGAGAAGAAAGTTGTACCATGGTAACAAACTGAAGAACAAACAGAAAGAGAATGCGAGGCCTCTGATTTCATGGCTGAAGCAGAAGAGGTTTCAGACAATGGTGACAATAACAGTGATTTGTGCTACACTTTCAGAAGGAATAAAAGCAGCAGAAGAAGGGCAGGGCACCTGAGACACTTGCAATCTGGTTTAGATCAGTCTGATTCCCATCTGAATTGAGAAATACAAGGCAAATAAGAAAGTAAAACAGAGACTCTGACGTTACAAAACCAAAGAAAAGGAATAGAGAGGCATGAGTACATGATGCTGACAATAATTATGTTCCAGGCAATACTCAACACAACAAGGATTAAACTAGGCTAATTCTTGCAGTTATGAAAATTATTTCCAGGAAAAATTTAATCTTGCTGGTGAGATTATGCTCTTTAGAGCTTTTTAGTCCTGTGTGCAGAAAAGAACGTTTTATATGATCAATGGTCCACTGACTGCAATGCACACAGTAATGATGCTGCAAACTGTAGCTGCATATTTGCATGAATTATTTTCTGGATTTCAAGACTGCTTGAAATCCACAGAATCAGTGCTGCTTAACAACACCAGACATCTGCCTTTACAAGTCAGCCTCTAACGTATCAGCTACTGCTATAAAGCAAATTTCGCTGCTGTAATAAGATTCTGTTCAGTATGGCTGTAAGTAAGCTCAAACTCAATTGAAGTACTTTAAAAATACTGGAAGTGGGAAAGTTTTCTGCTTTTAAAGTAAACTTATTTTAAATGGTCCTGAAAATCTGAAATGTCAAGATAAAAAGTGCTTGAAAAGATAAATCCAACATTACTACAATTGGAGAAGTCCAGCTTCATGAACATGCTATGTAGTTCCCATAGGGAGAGCACAGCAGAAAGACTGGCTGCCAGCCAGTACAAGCATTCCCGCTGGCTGCATAAAACGAAAAGGATGCAGGGATGCAGATTAACAACTGATTCTCAACATTGACAGAATCAATGAATTAATTCATTCCTTTCTGCATATTTTTACACTGGGAGAAAACAGGAGGCTTCTAGTAATCCTGTTTGACATTCCTGTGTCAACGCTTACTATGACAACACTTACCTTATTACCTATTGTTCCCTATTGAATATAGTACAACTACTACTAAGTGGTTCTACTGTAGTTGCCACACAGTACCAAAGTAAACAGAAGAATATTGTTACTCAGCGGTAGCACACTGCTTGCAATTCCAAACAATATACCTAATTATTTTCAATGCTCATAAGTACCATCTGTGGTGAAATACTTATTTCTGCTACTGTAGTGCAGTGCCACGGGCTCCCATGGAAGGAAAACCAGTGTTCCAGATCTCTTTGATCTCCTGCCACAAAAATCTCAGATATTGCAGGTGTCCCTAGTTATATCTGAAATCAGCCCCGCCTAGAGATTCTAAGAATACTCAGAGAACACACAGCTACTCTAAAGATAGCAACCTATAGGTGTGTACCTCTTCATGAAAAATATGAATTCAGATTCTCAGAACAAAGTAACGCATTGTGAGTTTCTTAACCAAGCGTAAGACTTGCACTTCCCATAAAAATACACATTTGCATAAAGATTCATTTCACACATCTTCAAGGTAATTACAATGATTCAAAATTGACATTTCTTTTATTCTAAGCAGAAGTGCTAAGGGGAAAGCACTGATGATAATCCCCTCAATGTTTAGTACAGTTTCACTGTTGTATCTGGCTTTTCAAAACATAAAGGCATCAAGGCTTAATACTTAATCGACATCAGTGGCAACTTTGTCTGACAGGGAACTGTTAGGCTTCAGGAACAAACACATGAAAAGCACAGATCTTTTCAGTTGTTTCAAACACAAACTCATAAATTCAATAGGCTGAATACAAAAGATAGAGTGAGAAGTGAAATGAGAGAGTAAGGGCTCAAAGCTGATGACATCAAGAACGAGCTTGCGGCCAAGAACTGCAACTTAAAAACAGGCAAATGATTATCTAAAATATTGTAAACACAAAGCCTAACCAAGTATTGGAGGCAGAAGTACATTTTTGTGCAAGAGTTGCACATCTGCCTCTGAAGATGAGCCAGTAAGTTCACGAGAGCCCACCTGAGGATGTAACAAGGACTTCACTTTGGTCATCCACCCTTACCCTCATTCTTCTGTGTTCTACTGTGTACAAGTGGGCATATGGAAAAGGGAAATTGTATATGAACTCAATATGCCACTAGTCGGACCAGGCCAGATTTTCATCCTATGTACTCAAAATATACTCATTAGGATAAAGGGGTGATGTCTGCACCAAAAAAAAAATATAAAAAAATAAAAAAACAATAAAAAAAATCAATATTTACTCATCTCTTTCATTGAGACAAATCTCATGTGGGATTGTCTTCTCTTTCTGAGTGGGACAGAATGAGCAAGAAAGAAAACCACAGAACCAGCGTCCCAGCAAGAGAGACTACAGAGGATTCACAACTAGTGACTACTGCTCCCTGCACTCTCAGCACTGCAGGTTCTGAATACTACAGACTGACGGGCTTCATGGTCTATAAGCAGATGGTTTTTGTTTAATTTCATGTTTAGAAGCGATTTTAAGGTTGTCTTTTTTGCCTGCTTTACTGTTCTTTATGAAGTCTTCAACATTTAACATGATGATTTTTTCCTTAGTTACATTCTGGATGGCTTTTTGTGAACAGCCATCTTAGAAATTTCCTTTTGGAAGGATAGTTAAGCCTTTCTTAAACCCTTTAAACCTCTCTAATAAGACTTCTGATTTGTGCCTACTGTTGCCACGTTTTACAGCATCTTCTTTTATTACATACTTTTTTTCAAAGAAAGCTGAGGAGTTAGGCCAGAGGGCTAAGAGAAATTCACGTTATTACATCAAGGAGGTTGTCTTTTCCTGACCTTTTCTATTGCTTTTCCTAGCTGTCATGGACCTGAAA